AAATTTTGTAGTGTAACTAAGAAGTTGAGGTTGTTCTTCTAAAATGACTTAAACTTCAAGTTAATGTTCGTGTAGGTATAATTAATAATAAACTAGTATTTGTCTTCATGTAAGTATATTTAACTTAAAGCCTCAAGAAGACTTACTAGAAAATTAGTAACATCCACCATTGACTGTCAACAACACAAGTCTGGGCACTTGAGAAACAGAACTGCCTTAATCGATAGACGTGAGCAGGTTCTTTAATACGTAGTTTAAATAATATAAAGTAAAGTTAAAAGAACTTTGTTATAAATGTGTCAAGGGTCTAGACTACGTATATTTTAACTATAGGTAAGTCTTAGATTACCACAGATAATTCCTACAAAGTTGCTTAACACTCGAAAACATTACAAATAATCTAATTTTATAACGCTTACATAAACTACCTACAAGAAATTAAATTCTAAATGGTTAGGTACATAGGTACTAAACTTACTGTTATGGCTTCGTACAACACAGCCGGGGTAGGTCACTGGGGAAATTCGAGTGTTGTATATTTGCATGGTGTCTGACCCTTCATATCCCTCACACCGTAAGTATCGGCCATTCCAATAATATTTGCATCTAATTGTGACCCATTGTTGTACCATGGGAATGGTCAGACAAAGTTTTACGGTTTGTGTGAATGTTGGTGCATTGTTCACGAATTGATGGACCATAAGAACCTACTTATTAGATTTACGGCCTCACTCATAAAGGGCAATTAATTTCATAGTTTGATTAAACAATTATGCTATTGGTTTCTTTGCGATAACAATACTTACTCTAAATAAGACAATATGCCACTTTAATAGCCGTTTAATTTAATGGACGCCTTTGATGTAAATATTTGAAATAAAATGTTTTTGGTCAGATGTAAGGAAGGTAATTACTTAGGGCCACGTGCAACAAATAAGCTAAATCTCGATTTAATTAAAACCGAATTTAAGCCCTAGAAAAATGTCATAACATCCAGGTCAGTCTGACATTATTGTATGGCCTAAATCTTGTTAGAGTTAAATTGAGATTTAGCAAAATTGCTGTAGGTAGTCTTAACAGCTTTTTTTATTTTGCATCCCTAAATGAAAACTGATAAAAATAAAACATAAGAATTTGCTTCTTCTTTTATCACTATTTACTTCTTTTATTACTATTCCTGAATTGCGGCTTGCTATCAACTGATTACTGGGTTTTATCATTGTATGCATGTGCAAAGACTGAATACACTGCCGCTTATATTAGCAACCTAACGGAGATAATCCGTTAACTAACTTACACACGTTGCTCAAAAACATCTATAAATATGGAAAGTGAGAAGTAGGGGTTTTAGCAGATTTCAGTTCAACTTGGGACACCCGCCAAGTTAAGTATACTCCATCTTGATCAGATTAAAAGACATTATTAAAAAAGGCAAAAAAAAAAACTCTTCAAAAACCTTACAAAACAATAAGGTCTCAAAGGAAAATGAATACAGTTGTCCATTCATCGGTCGGTATGTCTGCGGTTGTGCAAAACGAGTAAAACGCAAGATTATACTCCGAGATAGCGGTTGATTTAGCCATCTCGCCATCGAGATTTATTTAATTGCCGGATAGGTTTATGAAGATTAACGTAACCTTTGCGAATGGAAACATTATCTCAGGACACGACGGCGATAATTATACTCTTGGGCCGAATAGAAATTTGTGATTTTGTAAATTAATAGTAAGTTTTATCGCATATTTATAGCTTGAATGTATTTGAAAAGTCTTATAGATTTTCATTTACTATAACAGTATTTATCATCATCATCATCAGCCTATTAATGTTCCCACTGCTGGGGCACAGGCCTTCCCTATGGATGGAATAGGGAGATTGGGCCATGACCCACCACGCGCGCCCGGTGCGTATTGGTGGGTGCTAACGACCGCAGATGCAGCCGGGACCAACGGCTTAACGTGCCTTCCGAAGCACGGAGGAGCTCGAGATAGTAATTTTTGGTCACCCATCCAATGACCGACCACTGCGAAAACTGCTTAAGTTCAACGATCGCAGCCGAACGCGCTAATCACTTGCGCCATCGAGCTCCTCAGTAGTATACATTCTGAGTATTTACAGTATTTATTCATTCTCGTAATTTAATTTCGAGGCCTATTGACTTTTTTAATGTATAGCTTTAACAAATGGTGTAAATAATATAATATGTTGTTTAGTATGAGTCGTAGGTATGGATATTATAAATATATTATTATAATAACTATATACCGATATTTTTATATTTTTTTGTCTAAATTTTTCTCAACCTTGTTAACTTAAATTTCCAATCTTAAAATTTCTTCATATTTATAAGTGACAACTTGTTAATGGCTCATAGTCGTTATTTTTTTAACTATATTTTGTATGGATAGTTTTAAATTTTCCCATTCAATTAAATAAATAATTATATTATGTATACACCATGTGCAGTAAATTCTAAGAATGTTTGATTTATCAAGTAAAATTATAGTACATTTTGTATCTCTGTCACGTCGAATCGTTGGAATTAGTTTCGAAAATGAATAGATACTAAAAAGATACTTTATATCAGAAAAATTCAAGACTGAAAGCAATCTTTCGAAGAATAAAACAAATCACTATCGATTGTCATTACTGATGTCTTCCCATTTCCACATTCCCACAATACATGTTAAACAAACACCTAAATAACTGTGAAACACGCAATTTTGGCTCTAATCCGCCGCGACGCTCGGACGGAAAAAGCGAAAAAAGGCGACCCTCGAACCCGGGGAGGCCAGGAGGAGGTCGACAAAAGATAAAAGAGATATATAAGTAGCCCTCAGCAGTACCATCAAGTCGTTACAACAGCAGTAAAATATTTCAAATCGTGCCCAATGCCTCGGAAAACGGAAGTTACGCGACGCGACCCTCGCGCCTCGCCGGCTGAGTTTAAACAGGCCTTTTTTTCTCTCTCTCTTCCATTATAGTTAATTTCTTATTAAAATGCGAGAGCTGGTTGTATAGATTAAATTACACTTAATGAATTCATTGTTGAGTTAGCCGGTTAGTAAGAATTTTCGGATTAAACTCAATTTGAAAATATGTATTATATATATTTTTTGGCATTTAACTGCTAGATTATTAAATATGTGATTAATGTGGCATGGATGTATGCTACACAACGAAAGAATCTGGTGGTAACAACATAGCTTAGGGATTAAAAGTGTCTTAAAGCAATCAAAGTAATAACAACAGATAGCTTTTAACTAACTTTCTAGATTTGATGTATTACATGTGAACCTAAATGAACGTTGTTATCATTATTCATAAAACATCGCTTGAAAAATCTAATTTAAATTATCTGCATTAACCCGTAAAAACTAGTTTTATTTAATGAGTCATGTGCGTGAAAACCTAAGAAACAAATATAATAAGAAGTAACTCAATATACATCATTATAAAATTTCTTGTCCTGATTCAAAATAGTCATTCGACTAAGTTGAAATGATTCAGTTATTGAACATTCGACACAATCTAGAATGGTTCATCAATCTGAAAGTCAATACTTTATTAAATTTTATGTAAGCAATTAACATTTTTTTCTGAAATAAATTTGACATATCCTATTACGATCCCGGTGGCACAACATAGTGGTAGGTAGTGCGTGTACTTCCCACAACAGCAAAGGACGCAGGTTGAAACCAACTTGTACTAACACCATTATTCATTATTCCACTAAAAAACAAATGAGTATTTAGTATAAAATAGGAAATTAATAATTATTGTGAAATTATAATCTCAGGACTTGTAGTTTCTGCTAAAACTTAATTTGTTCTTGTAACCCACGAGATCTGACTTACATAAAACGTTGTTTTAACTTTTCCAGTACGTATTTATAACTAAACTAAGTGTTCATATTTTCATGTTTTATAAGTGTTCCTAGTTAGGCCCATGTATAATAGAAATCACTTACGTGTAAACCACCTCAATTGCAAAGAGTAAATAAAAGAAAAGTTTTTACAGGAAAATTTGGCCAATTATTTTAATTAAAATTACTTTGATATCCTTCGGCATCTATTTATTAAACCTGTACTTATCAAAGATGCTGCATCACATGTCAAGCAAGTTTATTGCAAACAACAGAAGGGCTAGCTCCCTTAAAGCTAATTTATTCATAGCCCATACGTCTTTCACATCGAAATTTAAATACCCTTATAAATAAGTGAACAAAAACCGTTCTATCCCAGCACATAACTTAAGCAGAACAAAACTATAATTCAGGCAAAGGAATATATGTACCTCGGAGCTGTTTTTTTATTTTCGGTAACGTCTTGATTAAGTAGGGACCACCTGCTTGGGTTCGCTCCAGTGGGACTGAATAAATACGTCCTGGTAAAATATTAATGGCCACATAAAGAATATGTTGAAACTCGTCTATGGCCGTTTGGATGTATTAAATCGAAAGGGTTATGCTCGGACACCGTTTGTTTTCGCCGAAAAGTTTCCAAAGTAGTATATTGGGTAAGTAGTTAGGTACTTTTTTTTTAAATAGCTGTTGACGACAGAAATTTAACTTCTTTTGAGAATAATATTATGTTCAATTCAACACAGACAACGTAAACACGTTAAAAGTGAAGAAAATAACATAAGAAAACTAAAAAGAAAGTTGTGAAATAATGTCAATTAATCTATTTATTTAATTGTTTACGCACTCATATGGTTTACACAATGAAATTCTCCAATTTGCTAATGTTTCAAAAAGAAAAAAAAATCTTTATCAAATTCATGTTATTCTGTTGTATAGTACCGCTTAATTTATACCTTATCAAAAATTTTACTAATGTTTTCGTATGGTTCGCAAAAAAAGACCCGTTTTACATTTTGGAATGTCGGCGCGAACAAAAGACGAGCGTCCATAATCTATGTGCAAAATCGCAATTCATATCGACAAAAAGATGTCTTTTTTTCTAACTTCATTGTGGTCGATTTTAAATTACCCCGAAATGATACAATGGCACTCCAGGTAATACATACTATCCCCGACCACATAAATTTCGGCAGACACCATTTCCCTTTTGCAACAAATCGCAAATTTATCGTTCGAGGCTCAAAGTAGTAAGAATTAACAATGAACAAAGTATTATTACTAGCATTTTGAGTTATAGTTTTACAGTGAATTGTGCAGGGGTCATTGTGCTTTCACATAAGTGGTTTTATGTGAGACTGAGTGCTAATGAAGATGTGTAAGGTATCACAATGCGCGGCGTAATCGTAAATTGTATTTTTATGTTTTGTTTGACTTCAATGATTGACATGAGAGCTTTCGGTATCTGAACTGCAACGGCGGATAGTTTTATAACCTGAATGACGTGTCGGCATATAAATTTATCTGTTGTGGGTAATTTCGGCAATTTTATGAGTCATTTAGTGGTAGTAAATGTCGCTGTCGCACTATAGGTGGGTTCACAGATGATTTTAGCCGGCTACTGTTTCCAGATTTTTCGTTCCTTCAAATTGCATTAATGATTTTGAATAATGAGCAAATAAATACTTTGAGTGAAGATGATTAGAAGACATAGATAAAATAATTAAATACTCAGATTTTCTGTATTTTTTTTCAAATAATAAATTAAATTTCTGTCATAGTTCGAGATTATTATTTTAGGGAAGCTAAATATATATTGATTTCTTTTCTTTTTAACGGACTCTACTGTCTGCAAATATATAATTACAATTATTGTACCGTTAAATTGAAAATGATACCTATTTCTTTCTGTTTTCAGTTTTCTGTCAGATGTTTGATTGACTTTATTTTTCCTTTGATGAAATAACTGTGTGACTTGATAAATACGTTGAAATTAATAACATCGTGATATTAAAAAAATAAGTATGCAATAAAAATAAACGGAATGTTTAAATGTATGAAATTAAAACTAATATGCTTATAAACCAAAGGAAAGATTATATACATTTTATTACTTTATTGTATTTTGTTTAATTAAATTTAATAAGGTATTTAATGTGAAATTAAATTTGATACATATGTCATGATATTTAAAGGCGGTGCTAGAAAAATACACGCACATTCGGAATTCCTATTACTTAATAATAATAATTACGACGCTATATTCGGTTTTCGTGGTGATCATAAATATTACCTGCAATGATTTGACAGAAACAAAGATTGGTTAATATTATTGTCAAAATGATGAAATAAAAGAACTTACGATTACCTGTAGCATTAGTTAATTAAAACATTTAAGTTATGATATGTATTTTTTTTAGATTGAAATGAGCTGCCAATAATTGTTATTTTTAACATCAGTATGGATAAATCCATACCTACTTACTTAAATCTTAAGAAAAGTTGACTAAAAAAATCCACGCACACCAGGCAACAGACGGGACTCGGGATAAGTATGGATTGATTGAAGAATGATCAAAATCCATTACTTGAACTACCAACAATCATTAAGTTTTTATTTCGTCTCCAAAAGATGTGTTTTAAAAAACCCGTTTCAAAAGCTGCAATTTACAAAAGGATACATCATAAACACATGTTTTAAAACGCAACATGTAAACTTTTAGTAATAATAAACAAAACTTCGTTTTGAAAAAAAAAAAAAATGTTGCCGCATGTATGACTTGAGAATAGTTGATCGATTTTAAAATTGTGTTAGTAAAAAATTGTGGAAACCCTGCATTTATGCATTAATAAATTGCATCCGTGTTTAGCCAGACATAGATTTTTTTTTAATAATATTTCAATAAGAATTCTGAACCTAATAAAATCAATCAATCAACGATATACCAAAATCATTATTAAAAATGAAATTTTAGGAACTCAAAAAAAAATCGTCATCCTTTTTTTCAATCTCATATTCAACGAAGTATGTAGTCTTATGAAGACGGAACTTTTTCCTGTTACAGGTGCAGCTAGCAGACAGTAGCGTTCAGCTCGGAGGCTTCGCGGGCAAATCATTAGTCTTACGGCAAGCGCCGCCCAAACCTACGGCTCGCTACCATTGGCCGGCGGCATCCCGCCTCCAACCTACAGCCGTATTCATAATGCACACGACGAAATAATTTACATTTGAGCTGAATTTGCGACCGTTCGCGGGGGTAATTGAAAATTTGTTGTATTGACCCTGCTGGATGGCTGGATGGCCCGGGAACGTTAAACGATAGCTTTAATTTCAACGTAACCGTTCGTAGATAGTTATTACCTTATGAGAGAAGGATACGGATACGGTCGAATTGTTGCTTTCTTTGTATTATTCAAGTAATTTGATATTTCGCCATTTTGTTCTAAAAATTGTAATTAAAATAAAGTTTAATTGTTTTTCCGATGTGTATGGTCAACAACAAGTTTGATTTTCCGCAACTGTCAAGTTTCAATGACTGTGTGACTATTAATTTCATCTGGTTCTTAAAATAGCTAAAGAAAAGTTTAACGAGAAATATCAGCTCAACCCACAGACATAGGTTGAAATCACGGGCTCGACCCATGTATCAAGCTGGACTCAAATCGAAAAGAAATGTCTGAGTTTGATGTAAAATTTAAGGTTGTTTAAGAGTATCAATTGTCTTGGTTATAAGTGTATACTCGTGTATAATCTAATAAAGTGTATACTCTAATAAGATTAATCAGTGTCACTTTGCTCACAACCAGGTAAGCAGATTGATAATGACCTTATTGTATATTTGCCTTACCACACAAATTCACTCATAATTTTACCAGATTAAATAGGTTCTTAAATGTATTATTTTATTTTTACTAAATTCAATGGCAACATTTAAACAATATTGTAAAGTAGCAATTGAGTACTCTTTTCTGTATCTATTTAAATATAACTGTAAATATCTGTCACTTGTCACAAATTTAAAATTTTCTGCTTCAGTTATAGGTAAGAAGACCTATACGTAGAGCCGAAAAGTTTAAATTTGCATAGCGAATCTTCCGAACAAATTGGAGTACCCCTCTGCGGAAGTAAGCTCCACCTCAGAATAGTGAACCTTCAGTATAATAACTTTTAGTGGTGTTGAATTCTGGGTAAGGTTTTTGGGGATACATGGGTTTGGAGATTAGCTTCTGGCTGGCAAGGTAAGGTTAGGATAGCTAGAGCGAACCATTTTTATGAAATATCCACTATCTTCTTGATCTTCAAACAAGTAATAGATGGTAAAGTTATTTTTTTATACTAAAAACTAGAAGAACAAGCTACCAAAAAGACGCTAGTTGTTTATTTATCAATAAAATCTTTATGAATTGTTGTTTCATTTTAACATTTAAGTCTTTAACTAGGTACTCAAAAATTAATAACAATTTTCTTAAAATTTTAATAATAAACATAGAAACACAGTTTTTGTAAAACTCACAGATTCTAGGATATTTTTGTTTTATTTCAGGGCTCCCAGAGATTCATTTATAGCACAACAATAAAGTTTATCCTTATTTATAATCTACAAAAAGTTATTTACAAGAAATAACAAACATACTTTCTCTTCCGAGTCCCATGGTCTGGATTGTCCCGATGGTCCCGATTCGAGTTCTGGTCCAGTTTATGCAAAAAATACACTATTTCTCTAGGTTTATTTTCATCGCACAATCATAATAAGTACCTACTAATCGTAAGTAATGACTAAGCCAATCGCTGATGCATTATGTGTAACATTATTTGAGATTCAAGGTCTGTCATCTAGTGGAAATATCGAAAAAAAAACCCGTTAAGAAAGAAATAATCTTACTTTGCGTTACTCTGCTGGCTCAGGGACCCTAAGTTGGTATTGACCTTTGACACGAGATGACGCAACTGCTCCCTTCAACACGCAACAGCTTGTAGCTGCACAAGACAGCAAGGTTGAACAGAACCTTGACTCGTCCTTCCTACCAATGATACTTGAGGCGTCAAACCAGGCCTTCGACCACAAGGCATCCCCGTGTACGCGAGCTTTACGGCCCAACCCTTCTTTATGCGTTCTATCGGCCTGTCAGCGAATGTCTCTCCCATAATATTGGGCTGCGCCACCAGATCTTCTACCTCACAGTGTTTGCGGATTCTCCAGCTACTGTCTTCTCATTTCATTGATCCCAGAATATTCCGTCAAATTTACGTTACTAAGAGCTTGTTTTCCTCTTTCAGAGTTAACTGTTACTTTTATAAATCGCAGGTTCCACGCAAAGGTCTCCTCGTGGTACTCTGTTGTCACTGTACCTTTTCAAATAAAGATATTCAGTCTTGTCGCGGTTTATTTTGAGACTATCTTTGGCTGCTTCTGCCTGCAACGTTCCGGCCACCACCTGCATCTGCCCCAGTCGTCTCCATACCCAATCACACTATCTTGTCCATTCAGCCGTACCCCACCATTGGTCACCGAAACTTTACGAACTACATGCTCTAAAACCAAATTGAATAGCATCGCCCTGTTTAAGACCTATCATCTCTGCAAATTTTTGAATAGCTTTTTATTTTCTTTGAACCGCATCCAGGTCACACTCGTGGCTAACTTTAACATACGTACCAATTTTTCAGTTATTTTGCCTCTCGAACGCCTTGGTGATATCCAAATTAAGTACACTCACTTAACGCTTGGTGAATTCTTCTCCATGATCAGTTCGATCAAAGAAATTTGTTCTATGGGGTCTACAATTTCTGTTGAATTCACACTGGTAGTCTCCTATTTTATCTTCGGAGTGATTCTCCAGGTTCCCCAGGAGGTCATATGAAAGAAACTTATGTTCGGTTGGCAATAATGATATTATCTATAAATGGAGCAACTCTTTTAACACCCCTTTTTGTGTGAGGAAATGACATCATTCTTTTTCGGAAGTTCTTTTCCATATTAGCGATATGAGCTTGTGTATTCGTATCTGGGTTTCGATTCCACACATTTTCTGGTTCTCTCCAGATATCCCATCCACACCAGGTGATTAGTTGTTTTTCAGCCACATTGTGGCTCTAAATACCTCACGTTGACTGGGTCGCTCAATTTCCGCCTTGTTTGGTTCTGTATTACCTAAAT